GTCGTTACCTGCCTTCCCGGAAGCCAAGTTCCCAGAGCCAGCACCTGCTCCATTCCATTCGGTGCTTCTATAGGTTCCAACCAGGTATCAAAATACACCTGAATAAACCTGTATCTTCATCTGATCAGTTCTCTACTTTCCTGCTTCATTCCAAGTTTCTAATTTTCTGTTTTAAAGTTTCGCTGGGCCCGGCGACGTGGCCTAGTGGCTAAAGTCCTCATCTTGAACACGCCTTTCCATCTTCCCACTGTAAAAAACAAGTTAATAACTTTCTTCCAGGAGTTATGTCAACATCTCATCAGAGGTTGAAAAGACTTTCTCTTTCCAAGCTGTAGTGAGACCTTACAGGGCAAGTCCATCGCTCTTCTTGCACTGTTAGGGTGTCAGTATAATGCTGGAGTGTTAGAATAGTAGAATGCTGGCCAGGCTGTCACGCCCCTTGATGACAAGAAGCCGCTGCTTTACTTAGTTAGGATAAGCCAGGGCCATTGAGGGATTCCACCCTAGTCAGGATGCATCAGGACTATTGACCAGTGCCACGAGCCCCATCTATACAATCCACCCGGGTGGCAGGGCAGTTGTCCGGTTCCAGGAAACAGGATGAGCCATTGATACCCAGAACCCATAGCCACGATGTGTGTTACTTTGACTGGATAATGTGTCACTCTTTAAATTGATTTGCTGTGTTTGGATTTGTGCGGGCTATGACGTATGCAGCGTCCAGAGAGGCCTATAGAATCAGAAGCCTTTCTTTGCTTTAGGGTCCGACCCCTCCCTGGCTGGCCTGCGTGCCCCAAGAACGGTCTGACCCCAGCATGCTGGCACAATAAACTCTGCTTGCTTTTGCATTACCAGTGAAACTCTGTCATTTCAGGGGGGCGGGGAGGGATGGACAAAACCGGACCCTAACAGCACAAACATGTGTTTTGAGTCTAAGACGGTTTGAGCCTCTCTCCTGATAACATTCACAACAGAGAAGTTTACAGTGGCCTGAGAGGTCAAGTGCTTCCTGGATAACTTCCTGCTTGGACTAGTTCCTCCCACACACCAATGTTCTGCTGTTCCAAGTTAAGCACCCCGACAGTTCATTTAGATTGCCCGGCACTCTGGAAACAACTGGAGTGAATCCACCATTGAACTGGCAGAAACAAAACAAAGCTTCCCACAAGAGTTACTGAGAGGAGCTATTTTAAGTCTTTAATTTCTAATCACATCTCACAGCTGAAATTATTCCCCAAAATCGTTAAGCCCAAAAGCAGACTAATTGGAAAGCATTTCCATTGAAGCAGTTTTATACTCTAAGAGGTTGTTGTCATTTCCCACTAAGAGTAACAACGGCACTATGATTAGGAACCTGCCCACGTGTTCACAGATACACATGTAAAATTATGCAAAATTATATTTTTTGTCAAAATAATATTTGGGGGTTACATTCAGACACTTTAACAAAAAACAAAGAAAATTAAACAAGTGTATCAAAAATTTGAGAAACATGGTGGCACAGTGGGGGTTCACTAAACTGTCTCAAAATACAAGTATGCTGGGAATTTTTCATCTTTGCACACGGACCATGCAAATCTTCTCTGTATCATTCCAATTTTGGCGTATGTGCAAGCATGGGCATTTCTCAAAATAACAAGTTCTTGAGCAGCTTACGCAAACTACACAAACCACAAGCCCAATGCATGTGTGTGTAACCTATTCCTCTCTCTACCTTCTAAATAAGTGGATGCATAAAAAGATCAGAATTTTTAGTAAGGAAATATATCTTCTCCATGTATCTTTATTAAAATATCTTTCTCAAAGGTCTTAACTATTTCTCTTTCAAGACTGAAGCTCCAAAAACGAAAGATTTTTTCCAGCTCTTCCTGTTGTCTTCGTCTAACCAGAGAAGCTTGGAGAAACAAATTAAAACACGATTTCTTTCAATAATAAGCACAGTGATCAATTTCAGAAATACTGCTCTACCCTCAGTGTTAAAATATCCATTACTACTGCCTCAATAACCACCGCAGGCTTTGGAACTTCTCTACAATGCTTTTGTTTTTCCCATCCCGAAAGAAAATTAAAAAAAACAAAAAACTGTCCTTGCAATAATTAACAGGACCTTCCTACTATCTGAAACACAAGCTCTTCAAAGTGGAAATCCCTTCCCCCAAGAGAAAACTAACTCTGTTTTGTGGAGAATTTGTAAACTCAATTACTGGCAAAATAAAAAGGATGTAACATCAGTTACAAAGTAACAAAGTCTCTTTCTCCACCCCTACCTGTTAAACCGTAAGTAAACATTGCCCAGCGACAATAAGCCAAAGGGAAGTTTGCTCTCCTCCTTCTCATAATACGCTTGATTCCAACAATTTCAGATTACAGTTTCAATAAAACGTCGTGAACTGTAGACCAGCCTCCATGGAGTCTAACAACATAGCCGAAAAAGATTCAAACTGCGGGAGACCTTGACTGTTGCCCAAATCAACTGATATTCCCGGAATTTGGACTTTTCATACTAGTTCATCCTAAACCTTCCTCTCCTGAAGTCCCAGGGGTAGACGTGGGAAGGCAAATATCAGAGGACAAAAAGAACAGCCCCGGTCAGCTTTCGTTTAAGAGCTGCAGTCTCCCTGAAGCCCAAGGACGGAAGGAGAACCCAGGATTGCTAGGAGTCAGGGTATTACCAAATGCCCCCCAAGACCATCCATCTGGAAGTCATCCTCGGCCATCAACAGCAAAGGCCTAGCAAAGACCTATTCCAAGAGGCTCAGTAAGTTATTAGTAAGCATTTCAGATCTAAGGGTCACCTCTCTGAAGAGCATCCAGTTATTTTTTCCAAATCCTTTTATATAAAAGGTAGTGTAATAAATACACTAAAGAGAAAAATAATAAAATTATTGCCATAGTAGAGAGATGAAAGGGGTAGAAACCTACATGCATAACATCTACCCCTCTCATGTGATTATTCACTTACTTGTTTGTTTTAAAAGTCAAAGAGATAAAAAGAGAGTTAGTTCAACGGTCCACTCCCCAGGCACCCCTAACAGCCAGTTAGGAATGAGGCCCTGGTCTCCGCCTGGGTGACAGGGCCCCAATCTGCGCAGCCATCCATCGGGTCTCCCACAGAGCGGACACGGATCCCAGCAACTGCATCATCACAAGCACATCGGCAGGATGGGAGCGGAGACAAGACTCCAACCCCGGAACTCCCCAAAGAGCATCTTCGTCACTGTCCTCATCCTCCATTTACATAACACAACTGCTTCATCAGTGAAATCTTCAAAAGCAGTAGACCGGCGAAGCTAAACGAAGATACTAGGAGGTATACAGGAACTTACTAATGGCTGTTATATTTCTTACGGGTGGGGCAGGGGTATCACAGAGGGGAAGACAAAAGCAGCAATGATGCAAATACTGATTACAAGATTTTTACATACAATACTAACAAACATTTATTCAAATAAACATGCACACAATCTAGAACTGCATGGCAATATGAGCAAATAAAAGTGCAGGTTCAGAGCACCAGGTTGTAAGCAGCTGCTGTCAAAACTACCTTTTGCAGCAAGACAATACTTTTTTTCTTTAAAAAGGAAAGCAAGTTGTCAGCCTAATCTGCTCATTTACAGTTGAGGAAGTGATGCCCAAATTTGACAAGGAACAAAATTCGCTAACCTTGGCCACAATTTTTTGTCAACATTTTATCAAGAGAAAAGCACATTATAAAAATTACAGCTTTTAACTATACCTGGGCCCGGCACAGTGGCCTAGCAGCTAAGGTCCTCCCCTTAAATGAGCCTGGGATTCCCATATGGTTCTAATCCCGGCAGCCCCCCTACCCATCCAGCTCCCTGCTTGTGGCCTAGGAAAGCAGTCAAGGAGGGCCCAAAAAGCCTTGGGATCCCACATGGAAGACCTGGCGGAAGTTCCTGGCTCCTGGCTTCAGATAAGCGCAGCTCCAGCCGTTGCAGTCACTTGGGGAGTGCATCATCAGACGGAAGATCTTCCTCTCTGTCTCTCCTCCTCTCTGTATATCTGACTTTGCAATAAAAAATAAACACATCTTAAAAAAAAAAACTATACCCAAAAGCTCCAATTGAGTTATTTTCTGGTTCATAAACTAATATTAGCGAAGAGGACAAATTTTATAATATGCTTCAGAATAAAAATCACTTCAACAAATACTTACTGACCAACTTAGAAAATATACAAAGCTCTGTTCCAAATGGCAAGCACATGCAGAAAATCAGCACATGGCCTGTTCCTCACGAGCCTACAGGGAGCAAGGAAGACAGACACACAAACAACTCTTCTAAAAGGACAGACTAGCTGAAGAGCATCAACAACCAGTTTAAACAACCAATTTCAACTTGAGGCCCAGCAGAAAAGGTCTTGGATCAGTCTGTGCGGTGATGCTTGAAGCATGAGTGTAAATTCTCCAAGGAGCACAGCCACGATGTTGCACAATCCCAAAAGCTGACTTTATAAACTGACCCAGTTAAGTAAAAACACAGCACAGGCAGACCAAGCTAACGACATACAGGAGCAAAGTGAGGGAACGTGGCAATATAGTGGTCAGGGAAAAGTGAATTCTCTGGTTCACACTGTGCATGGCAGCAGTGATTAGGAGAAAGATACACAGCAGACAAGATTGCAGAGTAGGGCTGGGTCAGGAAAGGATCAAGCTAAGCTGGCTTAGACGGAAGTGCTTGTGCTTCTGGGAAAAGGAATTTCAGCAGCAATGAAGAAGCTGAGGAGGGAAAGAGACTAGAGAAATTAAGACTTGAATGAAAAGAGGTTCGAACCCAGCAGGAAAAATAAAAAGAGAATGCAGGGACCAGCAACGGGAGACATGGCAGAGGTCTTGGTAAGACAATGCATCACTTTCCAGTTGGTCACATGGCTTACAGTAGCATGACAGTCAAAATATGAGCTATGTGATTCAGCTATTTTAGTCCTTTAGTACATCTCATAATCAATGACTTTAGAAGAGTCACGCACGTGGTCAGTACCTTCACTTTCCCAGGTTTGCAGCTGATCTTGATCCCTCGTGGCACTGCCCAACACCTCTCGAGGGACCGGTTCCATCCGTGCGTCCACTTTCTCTTGGTGAGATGACTGATTAAATCCATCAATGGCCTTTTGGAAAAAGAGATTGAGTTCCTCAAAGTTCATTGCCTGGAGCTCTGTGTAAAGTTCTGCCTGCTGAGCTTCTTCCAGCTCATTCCAGAACTGTAGCAGGTGTTCTTGTCCAGCTTTGGACAACCTGAGTCGGAGATCATTAACATTCATAATGTTCTTGTAGCCAAGTTTTGTGACAACAATGTAATTTTTGCACCTATAAATCTAAAAGAGAAGAGGAATTAATAGTAGGCCAAAGAGTTACAATATGATTTTTTTTTCTGCTAAAAACAAATAATGACCAATACTATGGTCAGTGACAAGGCACATATACAATGTATACAAGGCATATACATCCCCTCTGGCACAGCCATCTTAGTTTCTGTAACTCTACTTTGTGATGTTTATGCAACAAAATTGCCCAATGGCACATTTGTTAAAACACATCCCAGTGGTGAAGTGGCAAGTCACAAGACATTGGATGTTGCAAAAATATGATACTTAGGAAATTAAATTCTGCCTTTGTATCATTCAATATTTCTAAGAAAATAACGTAACATTATTATATAACAAATACCACACAAACCATTTCACACATATTGTCTCATTTGCTTTTCAACTGTATGGTACAGGAACATTATCACTACTTTACAGTTAGAAGGAAGCTGAGCGAGGAGGCAGCTGATGGGGCCAGGACGGGAAGCTAAACAATCATAGCCCTTCCTGTGCTTGGCTGTTCCTGAATGATTCCTCTGACCACTTATCTATCATATTTCTAATGGTAAAATAGCTGTTGTATTCAGAATACAGCAAGAACCATGAAGATGGGATTTCTCATAACCATGAAAAATACTTTTCTTATCAATAATAACTTCTGCAGAGAAGCAATAAAACCACATTCGTGATCTTTACTCACTATGAACTTGGATCTTGGTTAAGGAAATAAGCAATACGTACATTCTAAAAATCAGGAAACAGGACACTAATTTCAGAGACTCAATTGGCTAATCCTTCACCTGCAAGCACTGGAATCCCATTTGGGCACAGTTAATGACCCGGCGGCTCCCCTTCCTGTCCTCTCTGCTTATGGCCTGGGAAAGCAGCAGGAGATGGCCCAAAGCCTTGGCCCCTGTACACACATGGGAGACCCAGAAGAAGTTCCTGGCTGCTCAGCTCCAACTGTTGCAGCCATTTGGGGGAGTGAACCAGCAGACGGAGGATCTTTCTGTCTTTTCTCTGTAAATTTGCCTTTCCAATAAATATAAATTTTTTAAAAAGACACTGGTTTTTAAAGACTATTCTAACAAACATTAAACTTTCAGTACAAAAAAGAGGAGGAACTATTCAGTCTACTTTCCTAATACAAACAAATACAGGAGGAGACAGGCATGGCTTTGTCTAGAATGAATTCACCAAAGCTTGATCCAGCTGGGCCTCAACGTTGAGCAAACTACACAGATGAGATCAGAGAACAAGCAGAAGGCGGTGGCAATGAGAAGTGACATGTGTGACAACAGAAGGTGAGGTGCTATGTGGACTGACAGGAAATGCACAGGGCACCTCTGTGTAACAAACAGCCATGAAAATTCAACAAAGGAATTTAGACCTACTAGCATAAATAACAGGTGGCAGCAGCTTCCTAAACAAGGTAATATCACCATGCAGATAGACACAGCCGGGAGAAAGGGGGCAACAACACAAAGGAGAGTCTGAGGAGGGACAAATAAAAACAGGAAACAGCTTCAAAGAGAACTGCACTAATGAAGAGCCGATGGTCTGAACCAGATGAGCCGCACAGCAAAGGAGAGTAAAAACAATAAATCCGAGGGTCACTGCACTGCAGTTACACAGACGTGAGGGACAGCGGGAACCAGACACGAGGGAAACAACCCGCCTCCCTTCTCCTCCCGTAGGGACGGTAAGAGTTAATGATGTACACAGCAGCCGAGAGGGCCATCCTAGACTTCAGCTGAATCACTGAAGTCACCATGCCTCACCTTCCGCACTTCAGAAACAACGCTAATAACAGCACCTATCTCATCAGGAGCATGAAACATCAAACACCATTCCCAATCCCAGGCCAAGAAAACCTGTGTCTCCTGAGCTGATAAAATGAGGACGCTCACGTGCCGATGAACCGTGTGGCAGGAAAATTCTAACTGCTTTGCAGATACTATTTCACTGAACTCTCAAACAGCTCTGAAGTACTAGCATTGGGATTATTTTGCAAAGAAAAAAAAAAAAAAACCGAGCCACAGACACAGCTTGCACAAGGTCCCATGCTAACCAAGTGACAGAGTCAAACATGCTGCTGCCAAATTCAGAATCTTCAAGAGTTTGCTGCAGGGTCCCTTGGGAGAGAGATCTTCAACATTCACATGGGGGTGAGAGGAGGGCCAGAGAAAGAGAGGGGGAGCCACATTGCTTAGGCATGACTTATTCTGGAAATGTGAGACACAACTGACGTTACTTCTGACTCGTGTAAAAACCAATAGAAACGGAAAAAGATGTGCAGCACAGGTGGGTGAGGAGCTTTCAGGATGAGTAAGAATTCTTGATTTTTAAAAGCACCATAACTTTGTTCTCTATCGGGCGTGTCAACCCAAATCATCAATTTCCTAGAAATAATTTTAACCGGTGTCCACTCAAAATCAAGTTCAGGAAAGATATCATTCTCCAAAAGAGACAGGCACAGACTCTTTTTTTTTTTTTTTCTTTCAATCATGTAACTGGCAAGAAGTAGGGACCAAGCTCCATGGCACACCAGGCCAAGCTTCTGTCTATGGAATTGGCATCCCACAGGGGTGCCAGTTCACACCCCGGCTGCTCCTCTTCCAACCCAGCTGCCTCCTTATGGCCTCAGAAAGCAGCAGAGGATGGCTCAACTCCTTGTAAACAGGCACCACATGGAAGATCTGGAAGAAGCTCCTAGCTCCTGGACTCCGATTAGCCCAACTTCAGCCATCGTAGCCAGTGGCCATCTGGGGAGTAGACCAGAGGACGGATGTCGGTCTGGCCATTCTCTCTGTAACTCTACTTTCTTAGAGAGAGAGAGAGAGAGAGAGGAGAAATAAATCAGCCAAAGCAACAGACTGAGTTCAAGATTCCAATTTTTTTAAAATCCAAACTAGATCAGCATATGAGATTTGATGTGCTAAACCGCCAACTTTTATTTTTGGTACGTCATTTAGCTGTACTGGCTCTACTGCTTGGACCAAGTCACAAAAAAAGTTTTAATTTCGATATCTATTTTCATAAAATGTAAGCAAGACATTTTTCCTCACTACGTTTAGAGCCATAATTCCGAGTGCAATGAGACAATGAAGTTCAAAGAAGTTATTTTTCCCAATGTTGTATACATAATTGATAGAAAAATGGGAATTTCTATGCCAGATCTAACTCGAAAATCTATATTCTTCCTCTAATATATAGTCATAGAAGCAGAAGAAATGCAAAGCACATAACACACAAGGCCCATTGCAAACAAAAGCAGAAGAGTTTGGAGGCCACTTAGCGTGGCCTCTTGAGTCTGGCACAGTTTTAACTCAGTTCCAACATATTCTAAGCGTATGATCTTGAGCAAGTCACTTGGCCTCCAGTACCTCAATTTTTCTCATCTATAAAATGGGAACAAATACAAAAATGCTCTATGCTTAAGAGAATCTATACATGAATATGCTGAATAGCAAAAAATAGTAAATCCTTAAAAAGTTCAAAATAAACAATCAATGCCTGCCTGGCACGTACAATGGCCCCATAACTACTACTGGCTACTATTACAGAGGATCACTCAGCTCCATCTATGGGACCATGACAATGGATCTGTCAGCAGAGACTGTCATGTGACACATGGCCATATTGCCATGGCATGTGTGTAGACCCACAATGACCCTTCTCAATCATGCAAACAGACTACTCCTAAAGGTTTCATTTTCATGTAAAAAATATACATTAATAAATAAGAGAATTCTTAACTTTCCTGGGCCATTATTACTCCTTTGGAGGAATCCATTCAACACTTACTGTTTACCAGGAACCTATCTGCGTAACAGGGACACACAATAAAGCAGTGATGTGCCTACAGGTGACAAATCCGTAAGATGTCAGACAGCGGTGACATTCAGGGAGACTAGGGGCTAAAGAGCAACAGGGGACTCAGCAGGTATTTTAGTCAAGGTAGCCAGATAAGGCATCCAAACACCCGACATTTAAGAATACATATGAACAAATAGTTGGACAAGCCAAGCTAAGATCCTGGGGAGGGCCCAGCGCAATAGCCTAGTGGCTAAAGTCCTTGCCTAGCACACGCTGGGATCCCATATGGGCACCAGTTTGTGTCCTGATTGCTTCACTTCCCATCCAGCTCTCTGCTTGTGACCCAAGAAGGCAGTCGAGGATGGCCCAAAGTCTTGAGACTGTGGACCTGCGTGGGAGACCTGGAAAATGCTCCAGGCTCTGGGCTCCTGGCTTCGGATCAGCTCAGCTTTGCCCATTGCAGCCACTTGGGATGTGAACCAGCAGATGGAAAACCTTTCTCTCTGTCTCTCCCTCTCTTTGTATATCTACCTTTACAATAAAAATAAATATAAATAAATCTTTTTTTTTAAGTCCTGGGGAGGAGAAGCACTGCAGGTACAGGAGGCTGTAAGTAACATGGACGTAAAGCAGGCGTGTGCTCGGAGTGTTCCCTGCGGAGCTAGAAGGCTAGCACAGTTGTGGCTGACCTCAGCGCAGTTCACTGACGCCAAGAGGGACTGGAAATGAGTCTGAAGAAACAGACAGGAACCAGATCAAGCAGGGCCGTGAGGTTGGGGTAGGACCTGGGGATTTGGAAAGCCAGTGGAGAATCCGCGTCAGGTGAAAATCATGGTCAGACTTCCGTTTCAAAAGGACCATCCTGCTGCTATGTGTTCAAGAAAAAAAAAAAAAAAAAACTATGACAACAAAAATAGAAGCAGGCAAACCAGTTAGGGAAGTACTAAAAGTGTAAATGAGAAACAATGGTGGCTTAAAAGTGCGGGCGGGGAGGTTTCCCAACAGGCTAAGCCCCCGCCTGCCGTGCGGTGTCCCATATGCACAGAGTCCCAGCTCTATGGTCCAGTTATCTACTCCTGCGCCTGAGAAAGCACTGGAAGATGGTTCAAGTACTGGGGCCTCTGCATCCATGTGAAAAACCTGGAGAAACTCCTGGCTCCCGGCTTCGGATTGATCCAGCTCTGGCCGTTGCAGTCACCTGGGGAGTGAATCAGCAGACGGAAGACCTTTCTTTCTGTCTCTCCTTCTCTCTGCACAACTCTACCGTTCCAATAAAAATAAAAATCTTACCCAAAAATGTGACTGTGAACATGAATGCTACATCAGACCTAGAGGATCAGGTAATGAACCGGATGTGGGCTGACAGAGAAAGACAGGAATTGGGCAGACACTCCAGGTGCTGCTGTCTCCTGCTGAAGCCGGGGAAACGCTGGGACAGCAGCAAACTCAGGTCTACGTGTCAGGATCCACAGTTCGCGTTCCATCAGGTCACCTCTGAGATTGCCTGTTAGGCCATTAGAAATACTGCTTCCACAGCATGATATGATAGTCCAGAGTTCGGGGGTGATACTGACCAAAAGATCAACGGTCAAGGTTGTTAGCCTACAGGATACTAAGTCACAAACTGAATGAGCTCCCAAAAGGACTGCAGGTACAAAATCCAGGAAGTCAGGACACTGAGCCTTCCACATTCACCTGCATACCTACAAAATCTTCTTCCTGATTTAGCTAAGTTGGAAGAGTCACGAAGCCATTAAATTGGAACTTCTGAAAAAAGCCATGGAAGCCTCAAGACGGATGGAGTTAAACTAAACTACTTGCCAAGGCATGGCATCTTGTTTATACCACGTCTTCCGTCCAGTACAAGGAAGAGTGCCGCCATGGAAAGGTGAGCAGCAAGCCAAGGAGGCAAAGATGAAGAAGTCCTTCATTTGGGCCTCACCATCACAGAATGCACGCAAGTCATCTCACCTATACAGAGGGTTCTGCACAAAGCTACGACAACCCACCTTTCCCATACTGTCTACCCAAAGCAAACGCAAGCACAGTACACTGTGGTAGCGTACACACCGAACTTCGCCAAAAATGTCCCGAGACTCCCATCCACCTTCAGATGTTTGAGGAGATGAGCTCGTGCAAATAAGACAACTTATTGGTTAAACGTTGTCCTCTGAGCCCACACCACAACAGCTTGCAAAGGCATGCGGGGTCACACGTGCTCATTTTCCTGTTCTTCACAACTGATTCTTGGAGAAGCTTACTGGATTCGCAGTGTACACATGAGGCAGATACAACCATCTCCAGGCCATTAAAACGCTACCAAATTCCCCACTAATGCAGGTAGGAAACATTGTATGTATTCAGGATACAAGCAGCAATGAGTTTAAGTTCAAATCAATCAAAATCTGGGACTGGTGAGGTGGCTCAAGTGACTAATCCTCCCCTTGCAAGTGCCAGGATCCCATAGGGGAGACAGTTCATGTCCTGCCTGTTCCACTCCCTTTCAACTGCTTATGGCCTGGGAAAGCAGAAGAGGAAGGCCCAAAGCCATGGGCCCTGCACCTGGGGGGAGACCTGGAGGAAGCTCCTGGCCTTCCATCGGCTAAGCACTGGTATCTGCAGCCATGTGGGAAGTGAACGAGCAGATAGAAGATCTTTCTGTCTCTTTTTCTCTCTGCAAACCTGCCTTTCCAATAAAAATAAAATCTTTCAAAAGAAAGCAATCACAACCTTAAAAGGTTGTCAGTCTTCTCTGGAATTAAGATAAAGATTGATATTTTCCCCAAACCCAACACATCTATATGGAATCCTTAAGAAATTTGCTAGTTATCCACTACTAGCAAATATGCCTTCCTTTCCTGCGCCTTCTGCCCTATCTCTCTGCTGTAGGTACACCCTCAAAATGGACTAATAAACCTCCTGGGACTTCAGAAAAGAGTACTTGTTTTGAGCCACAACCACTGACTCCCGAGAAGCTTGGCGGCACAGCCTTAGAGTCTTCCTTGAGGTTCCAGCCAAATGAGCGAACAGTGAAGAAATAGCTACCTTCAGTTTCCTGTAACCCTGGCGCCCACACCCAGTGAAATCCACCTAAAAGCCCTTCAGCTTGCGCCGACATACACGGACCAGCACAATCACGACTACCTGGTTTCAGGTTTCAGAAACACACACACACACACACACACACACACACACACACACACACACACACCGTTCACATTTGATCCCATCTTCAAGGGGACTTGTTTCGCACAGGTGTGCTCACAGCCTTCCAACCCACCATCCTTCCACTTGGCCAAGCCTGGGCAAAGCCGGGGGTCCCCCAACCCTCTCCAACTCCCAAGCTTACAAAACTGACTAGCAGACTTTGTCTCATTGTCACCTCGCCCACGGGGATCCCCCTCTCCTTCCTGTCAGCCCTCTCAATTCTTTGGCACACACATTCCAAGGCATCCCACGCCGCTCCCACCTGACAGTGCCAGTTAGTCCCCTCCGGAGGCAGGCCAACCCAGGCTCCGCTGACCACAGGGCCCTGGCTTTACAATCTGCAGGCACCTCCCCTCCCAGGTGAGGCCCGCCTCCCGGCTCTAACTACCTTCACGGATCCCCCGCCGTGGACTCCAGACACGGCCCCCTGAACCGGCCCGTCCACCCGGGCCGCCCTCAGCCCATCATCCACGGCCCGCCCCGACCCGGAGGTGCCGCCGAGGGGTGGGCGTGCGCCTTGCGGAGCTCCGGGTCGGGCGCGCGTGTGCTGCCGGCGGGCTCCTCGGCCAGTGCCAGCCGCAGGCGCTCTGCACGTCGGCGCGCCGCGCGCCTCCATCTGCGCGCAGCATGGCCCTGGACGCGCGCACGCGTGTGGCAGGACCCGGCCCTCCGGTCGCCCCTCACCTCTGCTCGCCCAGGCCACGCTCAGCCCCGCTCCGGCTCTCTCGGCGCAGCCACTCATCGGCGTCCAGTCACCGGCTCGGGAATATATACACTCATCCGAGGGGGCCGGGGCGGCGGCGGCGGGGCGGGCCGCGGGTTGGAGCCTGGGGGAGCGCCAGCCCCGGCCACCCCGCCCCTCTGGCCGCGAGTGTGGGGAGGAGCGGAAACCAACGGCCCCGGACACGTCAGCGCCAGGAGCGCAGGCTACCGGGCGGGGGCCGAGCGGGGACTCGGGGCGGGACCTCTGCGCGTCACTCATCCAGGGGCCCAATGGGCAATGCCCCTGGTGGTCCAGTCAGCAGCCGGGCCCGCCTCGCTGGCGCACTGGCTGGGCGGAGGAGGGAGGTGTCCGCGACGTCCTCTAAGGAGGGGCGGTGCCCTGCCAGGGCAGTTCCTGGCGGGTTCTAGAAGCTCTGACGTTCCCTGGTGCTTCTGCGAGATGAGACCCCCTTCCTTGCCTGTTAGTCATACGCTTGGCTCGGCGGCGCGGGGCGCGTACTGCCTGTTGAGGGTGAATAACGGATCTGGGAGAAGAGGTGTGTCTCTGGGTGGCGGATTTCCGAGCACCCACGCAGATGCTTGGGAACGAGGGTGGTGAGCCGGCGGAAAACCCGCCGGGGAAGGGCCTGGCACGCCCTCTGACCTTGGAGTGGTCATTTGGGCTCGAGTTTGCCAGATGTCTGGTAGGGATTTGCCAGGCCGTCCGGTGATATTTTGAGTTGCGAGTGTGTGAAGACGGCCTGGTTTGCACAGACACGAAGGGAAAATGCCATCAAAGATACTAGGGTAAACCCTTAGGAGCATACCAGTGAGAGTGAGCCCCGGGTCAGCTTGGGGTTTCGGGGGACTTAACCGTCTCTAGGCGCACAAAGGTGGTAGGTGCAGTGGCTGGTCTCCAAGGCCATCCCAGGCCGGTGTTCCAGTCCTATTATGTAACCTGGTGTAGGTGTGCGAGCACACAGGTCCCTTGTGACGCTCTGTGCCCTTCAAAGCTGCGTTGTATGCTGTGCACTTTTTCCAAAATCCCGGACACCTAGAATCAGGTGCTTTTCTCCTGCCTTCTGGAGTGCAGACACCTTTTATTTCCTTCATCAATTAATCACAGAATTATCCACCAGGGTGAAGGTCAAGCAACACCAGAAAAACTTACACACCTAGTGAGTCCTGCTGGAAGAATTACATTCAGGAGGTTGACTAGTCCTCCTCTTCTGTGATGCCAGAACTCTCACTCTCTTATGGAGTGATGCATAGTGTAGTGATTGGTTAAGAGGATGGGACCTCGTGTAACAATTTCAGCTTGAATACCTTGACGAGTTATTCAACCCGTGCACGTCAGTCTGATCATCCCTAAAGTCACACAGGGGCCGCATCCAGTAGCAGAGTGCCTGGGTTGAAGGAGTCTCTCTCTGCTTCTTGGCTTTGAATCCAACTTCCTGTTAAGGTGCATGCTGGGAGGCAACTGTGATGGTCCCTTCGGTCCACGTGACCATCAGACCCAGATTCTGTGCCAGGTCCTGGCCAGGCCTGGCCAAGCCCTGACACTTGTCAGCAGTCGTGAGTGAGCCAATGAATGGGAGCTCTGTCGCTCCACCTTTCAAATAAAATGAAACTAAGTTTGTACAACATAAATAAAGCACTGAAAACAATAAAAATGTCCTTAGGGTTATTGTAAGAATCAAGCCACTCAATATCAGTAAATGAGCTAGAACAGAGAAAATGCTGAACTGCAGTTATTGTTACTGATTGAGTGGTTACTCTGTCTCAGGAAAATGTGGACAAGGAGGCCCAGATTCAAAATTACAATTGTACCCTGACTAGCTGTGTGATGTTGAGTAAGATGTTTAGCCTCCAATTTCTTCTTTTGTACAATGAAGATAATATCCAAATTAAATGGCACAGAACCTAGAATAGTGCTGAAATATAATGCCCACCATGTAGGTCTTGCATAAATTAATAAAGATCCAAAGTCATTATCAGAGAGCCATTCAAAGGAAAAAGAGAGAGCTGAGATCCAGAACCAATGTGTTTATAGCAAAATCAACAATCTGTCTTTATCTTTGTAGTTGACATACTTTTTGTTGTTATTTTTCCTGGTGATCAGGCATAAGAAGGGTTCTTAATCTTGTTTCACCAGCTAAATAACAGAAACTTCTCATACTGAAGAATTACTTCAAAGTGAACTCAGTCCTTCCAAGTCTTTCTCCTGTGCCTGGTCTTCTAAGAGCTAATGGAAAAGAACAAGGCAAGGATGTTCACTTTACCTGTGACTGCTTACATTACACAGGGGCTATCAACTAACACAGAAAAAAGAAGAGGCTTAAGCTTTAGGGGTTCTAATCCCGGCAGCCCTGCTTCCCATCCAGCTCCCTGCTTGGGGCCTGGGAAAGCAGTCAAGGATGGCCCAAAGCCTTGGGACCCTGCACCGACGTGGGAACCCGGAAGAAGTTCCTGGCTTCAGATTGGCTCAGCTCCAGCCATTGCAATCACTTGGGGAGTGAATCAGTGGATGGAAGATCTTCCTCTCTGTCTCTCCTCTCTGTATATCCGCCTTTCCAATAGAAATAAATAAATCTTTAAAAAAAAAAGAGAGAGATTTATTTAGGAATGAATAAAACTACTTAGAGTTGCAAATGACATGGTAGTAGACCTGGAAAACCTTAGAGAATCAGTAAGACTAAGACTTCAGTGAGGTAGCAAGCTACAAAACAAACTCATAAGAATAAATATTTTTCATATGTATAGATTGAAGCCAATGGGAAGATATGATGGTAGGGAAAAATCCCAGCTATAATAAAGCAATGAAAAATAAGCTAAAAGATATAAATCTGACATAAAATATACAAAGCATATATGAATAAAATTGCAAAAAAATTTCTGAAGGCCACAAAAGATGATCAGAAAGAAAAATGTCTCTTGTTAAATTATACGTTGCACCCATTTTTAAAATGTAAATTTATAAATTATACAAATTGATACTAAAGTCCTCGTGGAAAAGAAGCATAAGAGAATAGCTAGAAAAACACCTTTTTAAAGCCACAGTATCCATCTGCCTGCTAAATATTAGAGTAGTCTGTGAAACCTCAATAATTAATGCAGTGTGGTGCTGGCACAAGAATAAGTGCAACGAATGGAATAGAAAGTCCAAGAATGAGCCCAAATTCATATGGAAATTTAGTGTATCAAACTGGTGATGTCAACCCACTGGTGTTAAAGCACGATCCATACTTCACACTGTCACAAGAATAAACCCAAACTGCATTAGAAATCTAAGTGTAAAAGACCAAAGTCATAGAAGTACTAGGGAAAAAAATCATTCAGCTGCAACAAAGAAAAAGAAACTAATATGAACGGATATGACATTCAGGATATAAAGTTACAAACACACACAAAAAATGTAGTTTTTAGAAGAGACAATTAGAAGTAATTCATTAGTGCCAAATGGGAATTGAAGTTGTAAGTATGAAATCATGGTTGTAAAAAATGTATCTATTTGAAAGAGTTACAGAGAGAGAAGGAGAGACAAAGACTGAGAACTTTCAATCCCTGGTTCATCCCCCCAAGATGCCTGCAGTGGCCAGGCTGAACCAGGAAGAAGCCAGCAGCTTCTTCAGGGTCTTGCCCATTTCAGCTGCTTTTCCCAGGCTGTCAGCAGGAACCTGGGAGCTGGATCAAAAGTGGAACAGCCAACATTCCAGTGTCGCAGGCATCAGCTTTATCTGCTAAGACACAGCACTGATTCCTGAGTTCATGCCTTTTATTCAGACTGTAAAAATTTCTCTGAATTAGAGAATTTGAGTAAAAGACGTGTAGAACATCTTGTAGAGTCCTGCCATTTCCCTCTAAGATTAAAATTGCATATATATGTAAGTTTAAAGTACAAAGAATTAAAATACAACCAATGATAAAGCTCTTCATTGCCAGTTCAAACACAAAAGGAAATGGTTAAACCACAGAAAACGCAGTTATGGTGTAAAAGGATCCAGGAAGGATGTGAGCGTCAACACGGTACTTTGCCCGTTCCACGTCACCTGCTCCCTGGCACCTGGTCAGAATGCCACATCACCTGAGAAACTGTAAATACCACCAGCACTGCAGTTTTACAGTGCAGCTGTGCCTCTTTAGAACAGGAATAATGACAGAGAAGTGTTTTTCTCTGAATGCCAGCTTCCCAATTAAAAACCGTGCGGCTTACTTAAAGAGTGCTGGAACATGTATGGAGTAGTGATGACCCAGGATCCCTCAGTATTTAAAGGGATGTCCCCAGGGTTGAACCATTGAGAGTAAACTGGCACCTTTTTACTGTCCATTACAGAACGAACTGGTGTGTGTTTAAAATGTGCTTATGATAGATCTTGTGATAGACGCATGGGAAAGAAAAAGATGCTGTGCTCACCAGGAACTGATGGTGCAGTAATGGATTAATGTTTCCTGCAGGTGCAGGGCACTGGAGTGCCCAGCAAATGAGCGAAGAAAGGACTTCAAAGCTCAGAGGAGGGATGGAGCAAAGCAATGAAGATATTTTCTAAAAGGATACGCTGAAAGGTTTGAAAGCAAGTAAGACGTGAGAGATAGCCTTACTCTTCAGTAGGGGGTCTTTGCTACACAGCCTCAGGAGTGGAGGATTCCACCATTTTCCCGTCATTACCTCTTCTAATCCCTGCTTCCTCCTTAATGAAAAAGACTGGGGAATTGGTACCCAGATAAAGAACTTGTGAAGTGAGGCATTCACCTAGGAGCCACTAAAAATACTGAGAATTTGACAAGAGAATATTTAGTGAAAGATGTATGTTTTTTGGTATTACTTTACCACTCAGTCTGACTTTTAAAAGAAGAGAAAATATATAATACTTGCACTTTCATCTATTAGATGGCTGAATGGATAGATGATTGATTGATGATGAGCGTTGAAGAATCACCTGCATTGCCTGAATTGCACAATTATGTTTTATACAATTGGAAAGAAAATTAAAAGAGAAAAAGCCTGGCACATAGTAAATGTTAGATGAATCGATGAAAGATAGAAAAAGGAAAGGGAAATAAGGAAATGAATGAAATTTTCTGTTAAAAACATAGGATCATGGTGAGAA